TATGAAGTGTACGTAGGGAACAAGAGGACAAAACTAAAGTACAGTAGCGGCAGCAGTGCTACTTAAATAGGCAAGGTGAATAGAGTTTAATAAGTATGGGACACTGAGTTGGGTCAGCGATGTACATGAAACAGGTTTCACTGGGTTGTATCAGTGATGAGGATGAAACGTGATGGAGATGAAGCGTGATGTAAGTAAAACATGATATAGGTGAAATGTGATAGATATGAAACACTGATGTAGATAAAACACATCAGGTGATGGGATCAGTCATACAGTTTACAGAGTCAACGACGAATAGTTAGGAAAAGAAAAAGAACCCCCCTCCCTCTCACGTTGTAACAGAATGATTGGGTTCCTATCCAGTACTGTTGCGTAGGCTTCTATCTTCATTGGTTGTCTGGATAGGGATATAGTGAAGAAGACTTTGTGTTTGATGGCTGCGGCTTTATTTGGTGAACCGTTGACATTAAACACGGGTCTGGGTGTACTGCTCTGGTTGACAAGGGACCTGACAACTGAGGATCAGGAGTTCCACTTAAGACTACTACTGACAAAGGTACTGCTACACATAAGGCTGACGCGCTATACTAGAACTAGACTTTGTAGACTGAGCCACTGTAACTGATAGTGGTTTGAGAATGTGTACTGGTTGAAGCAATGCTTCAGACTGGGACTAGAATAGACAACTGAGTCTATTACTGAGGACTGTCTCTATGAAGGTACGTAGGGAACAAGAGGACAGAACTAAAGTACAGTAGTGCAACCAGTGCTACTTAAATAGAGTAGGGAATAGAGTTTAATAAGTATGAAACACTGAGTTGGATCAGTGATGTACATGAAACAGTTTCACTGGGTTGTATCAGTGACAAAGATGAAACATGATAGAGGTGAAACATGATGTAGGTGAAACATGATATAAGTGAAACGTGATATACATGGAATGCTGATGTAGGTGAAACACATCAAGTGATGGGATCAGTTTTATAATATAGGGTCAATGATGAATAGTTAGGAAAAGAAAAAGGACCCCCCCCCTAAAGCTGTAACAAGACCTAGCAGAAATGATGTACCAGAAGATATGGACACTACATGGTCTTCCTAAGAGAATTATATCAGATAGAGGAACACAATTCTCAGCCAGATTATTTCAAGAATGGTGCAAGTTATTGGGAGTACAATCAGCAATGTCAACAGCATACCACCTACAGACAGATGGTCAAACAGAAAGGGTCAACCAGAGTTTGGAGATGTTCTTAAGGATATATTGTAGTGCACAAATACTAGACTGGGCACAGTTTCTGCCAGCAGCCAAGTTTACCTACAATAATCAAGCCCATGAAAGCTACAAAGAACTCTCCATTCTATGTAGAATTGGGATATAATCCTAATATGCTTTCTACAGAATCCATCATAGCTCAACACCCAGCACTAAGTGACATAGTAAAGGATAGGCAAGAAGCACAAGAACAAGCCAGAGCAGTGTTAGTATTGGCAGCAGAGTGAATGAAGTGGTATTATGACAAAATAGTAGAGAAAGTAATGATCAAAGTTGGACATTGGGTTCTCTTGGATGCATCAGATTTGAAGCCACAGTGGTACAATAGAAAGCTCTTACCTAGATGCTATGGACCATTTGAGGTAGTGGAACAATTGGGACCGGTTACATTTGAGATCAAACTTCCAATATCTTACAGGGTACATCTGGTGTTTCAGTCATCACAACTTCACCTCTTCCAAGAGGATAAAATTCCAGGAAGGTGACAACAACCCCCACCACCAGTAGAAGTGGAAGAACACAAGACAGAGTATAATGTGGAAAAGATTGTAGATGCAGGATTAGACAACAAGAACAGAGTCATGTATAGGGTCAGATGGTTAGGTTATAATGAAGAAGCCAACACCTGGGAGTACCTTAAGAACCTAACCAAAGTCAAGAAATTGATTAATGATTTCCACAAGAGGCATCTGCAAAAGTCCAGACCAATATCAAACATAGATGATTGGACAGTGATATGTCTACGGAGTTCCTAACCCTAAATAAACCTAAAAGGGGGTGCG